CAGGCAAACATCAACAACCCGATCTTCCTTCCTGGTATTGTAGTACTTTTAAAGTTTTCTCACCGGTGAATGACACATGATGTAGCCCAGCGATTAATCCAGTCCTCGCTCCCCCCGCTCTGCATATTTTGAATGTCTCGCTTGGTTAACACACCCGATTCAGATAACCAGCTCATTAGAAGTGTGTTCTGTGTAGGGATCATATCATCAATATGATCCCTACACAGTGTTCATTGCTCCCTCCTCACTGAGCGGGGGAAATACATTGAAGTTTACTTCACTTCGGAACATGGGCTGGAATTGGGAACCGCTGATGTAGCCTATTGTAGTAATGTTGTCTCTGGTACTCTGGTCTGTGAGTGAGCGTATATGCATTCAGGGGGCATGGCTTTGGACGGCGATTGCAGGGAGGGTGGGACATTCACTTTCAGTGCTATCAGGCTAAAGTTATCATTTTCCAAGATCTCCTATTGCGCCTTTAACTGTGTAGTCATTTGATCACCCCAATGTTGTTTTATGCCCATGTTGTATTTATTTTATGCAGGGCACACAAAAGCAGTCATTACTAATTTGTAGCATGTGTTTGAGTATTGACAAAATTCAAATCTTATTTTGTCAGCTTTTTTTTGTTTAATTGTCACTTACATTTTTAATTTAAAAGTTTATTAAAATGGAATGAAACACTACTTGTTTGTCTATAATATTCAACTCTGATTTGAACCAAATTGTCTCTTGCAATTTCAACAAATCCTCATCTATATACATCTTGCGCTTGCACTGGATCCATACTGTTAAACTCTGAATTTCATCTTGTAACTTCAGCCACATGAAATGCATTAATATTCAAGCATTTAACATTAGTTTATGGGATGTTTCTGGATCGTTGTGAACTGGTGGATTAATTTAGCTCAAAGATGAACCAGTTCTAGAGTGGCTAGCTGGTTGCCATGGCTTTTGTTAACTGGTCAGCAATCAACTATCTGCCCATAACACAGCTTTGCTAACTTCAATTGCCAATTTCTTTTAAAGTTGACAAAAATCAATATTATATTTATATTAATCATATTTATATTTAATTCTGATATGCGCACCATTTTAGTTACCAGTGGATGCTGCATAGAGTGGCCCGAATATTGCATGTAAGCTGCTGTTCTAGATGCCATTTGTGGCTCATGGTCCCCCAGGCTCTCTTCATATCAACATCTTATGTGATTTGACAGTCAGTGGGCGGAACACAAACTGATTCCATACATGTTTATGAAAACCGGTCAAATGTAATCCAGTGGAATAGCTTGCTCTTGCGTTTTTTTCAGGTATATTCATAGTCCGGTTAGTCCAGAGGGCAGCTTCAAGTTTGATCACAGTATACATGTTTATGTGCATTCGCTCCTCCTCTTTATTTTTTCTTTTCAATTTGGTTTTCTGCAGATCACATCGCTCCACTTGGTGGTCTTAATGTTTTTATAGTTGTAGACCTGCCCAGGAATCATATGGCGTTCTGTTTGGTTGATGCTGTCATGTGACTAATTTAACAGCCTTAGAGGTTTTGATGATGTTTGTTCATGGAAGCACTATTGTCATATTTGGTACAGCAGGGCTCATTTGAGCTTGCTTTTAATCTGGAATAAGCTTCTTAAGCCAGCTGTGAGAAACATCTTCTGCAGAATTGTGCGTGTTTCAAGCGTCACCACGTTTCCATGCTTCACGATCAGGGATTCTCCAAAAAAGAAGAGGAGGATGATTTTTTTTTTTAGGTTTTTAAACCTGTTTTTCTTGCTGTTGTCTTTCACATTATGGACTAAAGATGAAGATGAATTTGGCTTATTTTGTTTGGATTAATTGTGAGATGTCAATCATGCAGGAGACGCATCCATTTGACTTTTGACATGGCTCGTGTTTAAAGCCCAGCACAATGCTGATTCTATGTTCTTGCTATCTCATCCTGATGTACGTTTCCCTCTACCTGTCTCTCAACCTCTGGCGCAGCTTGCTCACTTTAGACAGCGCCAGGCAAAAAGCGAAAGTTCGAGCTCGCAGAAAAAGACGCCGAAGAGGAAGGGCAAAACTGTCCAGACGAATGACAGGTCAGCGCAAGATTGCCACCTAGAGGAACCAGAGACAGACGATTGTCATGGAGAGATCAACAAGGAATACTCAGAGGTTTGCTTTTAATTTTAAAGAGTCTATATGTAAGAATTTTCATGTCTTAATCTCTTTTTTCTTTTTTTTTTCTTTTTTTTGTTGTTGCCAATGTGTGAACAACTTGTAACAACTTAAACAAGACCTTCGCCGACTTCCTAGGTTGTCTATGAAAGCCTGTAGATTGATTTTTAAATGAAGGACTCGTGGTGTTTTTGCCGGGAAAAATTAAAACGTTGTGACATGTACATGCATGTCTGAGAGCCTCTCTTCCGTTCTGACACGTTAATCTAATATTTATACAATGTTCAGATTAATACCAAAAAAGGTTTTCCACACTGTAATGTCAATGTGCCATGCAAAGAAAATGGATTAATTCAGACTATAGTCTCACATAGCCACATCTAAATAGTCTGTAGTCTTAAGTATACTTTATGATAAAACTATCATAACGGTGTATTTTCAATTACCTCATCTGTCGACATGATATCATGTATCATGTGTGTCAATATCATGTGAATTGCAAAGCTTGTGTAAACATATCGTCATCGATATGATCAGATGCTTTCTTAACCACAGTTTTCTCACCACTTTCATTTTTCGTTAACAATATATTGATAAAGTAATTTCCAACTTTTTACTTTGAAAGAGAACTTCACGGTGAATATAACAGGCCACTGAATCACATTTAGTCTATTGTAAGTTATGTGTGCACAAGTCTGAGCATGAGCAAATTAGTTGCTGGTTGCAGTTCACTTAATGGCCACCACTAGTAAGGGTTTCTGAATTCTGCATACTTGACTTCTATTTTAAAGTCATATCATAAAGAATCCAATTTTAATTTGAGAGAGTTTTATTTATGAAAAAAAACTTCAGAACTAAAAACTTGCTGCTACCTAGTGAAGTTTATTAAAACTAAGCTGCAAAAATGAGCAAAAAACTTCTGTAGCTTTGTGGCACCAGTCAGATGCACCAGTCACAGAGATGCAATAAGGAGAAAGCAGAATAAATGCTATTTTTCTTAAATGCCAGAAAAAATAAATTTTCTAAAGTGTGTATTCTTCTAGCTGAGTTTAGTTTTTATCAAGGTTCCTGATCTTTAAAAAACTGTTCATTTCTAAGAGTTGTAGAGATGTCTAGAAAATGGTCATTATAAACTGAAATATGGCACACATTTTACTAGCATATATATATGTATGACTTCTGTTAGAAATGGGTCAGTTTATGCTTTCACTTCATTGACTTTGAGGGGTTGGCTGCTGCTTTACATGCCATTTAGACATTAAGCCTTCGATGTCACATGCAAATAGCATGTGCACACCACTACAGCAAATTTCAAATCTATAGCATGTATATCTGTGTTCCCACCCCATCTGAAAATAGGTCAGATAGCATAACATGGCTAGGGGCAATGTAGTCATGGTAACTGTAGAAAATATGCATGTTTGTCTGAACGTTTAGGCATCACTCAGACCTGATGGCACAGAGAGCAGTGTTCCAGAGGTCCTTCAGTGCAGCAGAGAGGACGATGAAACTGATGCCTCTGCCAGAGACCCAGAAGAGGACCTCTGTTCAGAGTCAGAGCTGCCCGATCAAGCAGAGGATGAACTTGCAGGAATGATTATAGTTACACATACTGACAAAGAACAACTAAAGGTAAACCTTTACCCTTTAAGGAACACACAAAACAGATCTTACAATGGACCTTTTTACATTTCTGGGTTTCTCAGCAGCAGAAGTCATCATAGTTGGGTAAACGTCTGTATCAGTGAATTGGAGCCTACCACAAATATAATTTTTGCATTCCCATTTGCTCAAATAGCAAAAGAAAAAATCCATGAAAGTGTTTTCATGACTTTCAAAAAATAGAAAAAATAGAGAGAGACTGATAATGGCAGTCAGTAGAGAGAACAATGTCAAATTTACCTTCACTACCATAGACACAGTGTTAGAAATATCGCATTAGCGTTAAATCGTTTTTTGTAATTTGATGCAAAGGAAATGTAATGCAAAGTATAGTGTTATAAATGTACATTTAAAAAAAAAAATTAATGCAAAAAACTTTGGAGGATTCATGATGCTGATGACTGATGAGACGCATCATCACAGTCTTGTGAAAAGGGTCCATTGCAGTTCTGTTTCATTTCACCTGACTGCCAGAGGCAGTGCTAAGCACTAGTGGATAATCGCAACGTTAGGTAGATCAGTCGAGAAAAATGTCAACAAGGTGTCACATTAATGTCATGACGCAAACCGCTCTGCACTGCCATCAGGGGCCCATTCTTCGTACGTCGCTAACACTCAGCTAGCTGGATTTGATTGTTGACGATTTGGCATGATCTTGGATTGTTTGGTTCTTCGAAGCTCATCCCGGAGTTGCTGTCATAGCAACAGGTCCGTAAGCTTAAACCTGCTCGGGAGCAGGCTTATTTCATGTAAACAGGATTAGATTGCATCTTTTTAAGCAGAATTGATACTTAAAATCTGTCCTCTACCGCCGCTACTTTATTACAAGAGTACCCTACTAATCCAGGGAGAATTGCAAAGCTTGTGTAAACATATCGTCATCGATATGATCAGATGCTTTCTTAACCACAGTTTTCTCACCACTTTCATTTTTCGTTAACAATATATTGATAAAGTAATTTCCAACTTTTTACTTTGAAAGAGAACTTCACGGTGAATATAACAGGCCACTGAATCACATTTAGTCTATTGTAAGTTATGTGTGCACAAGTCTGAGCATGAGCAAATTAGTTGCTGGTTGCAGTTCACTTAATGGCCACCACTAGTAAGGGTTTCTGAATTCTGCATACTTGACTTCTATTTTAAAGTCATATCATAAAGAATCCAATTTTAATTTGAGAGAGTTTTATTTATGAAAAAAAACTTCAGAACTAAAAACTTGCTGCTACCTAGTGAAGTTTATTAAAACTAAGCTGCAAAAATGAGCAAAAAACTTCTGTAGCTTTGTGGCACCAGTCAGATGCACCAGTCACAGAGATGCAATAAGGAGAAAGCAGAATAAATGCTATTTTTCTTAAATGCCAGAAAAAATAAATTTTCTAAAGTGTGTATTCTTCTAGCTGAGTTTAGTTTTTATCAAGGTTCCTGATCTTTAAAAAACTGTTCATTTCTAAGAGTTGTAGAGATGTCTAGAAAATGGTCATTATAAACTGAAATATGGCATTTTACTAGCATATATATATGTATGACTTCTGTTAGAAATGGGTCAGTTTATGCTTTCACTTCATTGACTTTGAGGGGTTGGCTGCTGCTTTACATGCCATTTAGACATTAAGCCTTCGATGTCACATGCAAATAGCATGTGCACACCACTACAGCAAATTTCAAATCTATAGCATGTATATCTGTGTTCCCACCCCATCTGAAAATAGGTCAGATAGCATAACATGGCTAGGGGCAATGTAGTCATGGTAACTGTAGAAAATATGCATGTTTGTCTGAACGTTTAGGCATCACTCAGACCTGATGGCACAGAGAGCAGTGTTCCAGAGGTCCTTCAGTGCAGCAGAGAGGACGATGAAACTGATGCCTCTGCCAGAGACCCAGAAGAGGACCTCTGTTCAGAGTCAGAGCTGCCCGATCAAGCAGAGGATGAACTTGCAGGAATGATTATAGTTACACATACTGACAAAGAACAACTAAAGGTAAACCTTTACCCTTTAAGGAACACACAAAACAGATCTTACAATGGACCTTTTTACATTTCTGGGTTTCTCAGCAGCAGAAGTCATCATAGTTGGGTAAACGTCTGTATCAGTGAATTGGAGCCTACCACAAATATAATTTTTGCATTCCCATTTGCTCAAATAGCAAAAGAAAAAATCCATGAAAGTGTTTTCATGACTTTCAAAAAATAGAAAAAATAGAGAGAGACTGATAATGGCAGTCAGTAGAGAGAACAATGTCAAATTTACCTTCACTACCATAGACACAGTGTTAGAAATATCGCATTAGCGTTAAATCGTTTTTTGTAATTTGATGCAAAGGAAATGTAATGCAAAGTATAGTGTTATAAATGTACATTTAAAAAAAAAAATTAATGCAAAAAACTTTGGAGGATTCATGATGCTGATGACTGATGAGACGCATCATCACAGTCTTGTGAAAAGGGTCCATTGCAGTTCTGTTTCATTTCACCTGACTGCCAGAGGCAGTGCTAAGCACTAGTGGATAATCGCAACGTTAGGTAGATCAGTCGAGAAAAATGTCAACAAGGTGTCACATTAATGTCATGACGCAAACCGCTCTGCACTGCCATCAGGGGCCCATTCTTCGTACGTCGCTAACACTCAGCTAGCTGGATTTGATTGTTGACGATTTGGCATGATCTTGGATTGTTTGGTTCTTCGAAGCTCATCCCGGAGTTGCTGTCATAGCAACAGGTCCGTAAGCTTAAACCTGCTCGGGAGCAGGCTTATTTCATGTAAACAGGATTAGATTGCATCTTTTTAAGCAGAATTGATACTTAAAATCTGTCCTCTACCGCCGCTACTTTATTACAAGAGTACCCTACTAATCCAGGGATAATCATTTATAAAAAAACAATCATTTAAAAATGTATTTAAAGATAATATAATAATGTTGTGTAGTCTTTAATACTACAGACACAGCCAGTTTTACTCACTGAAAGATCATAAAATTATTACTTCATAATTGTATTCGAGTCTTACACACATGCTATACAGATAATGTAGAGTCGTGCATTAATTTGAGTGATGACAGCTATTCTGGGAGTGACTTGATGGAGCGCAGGAGATGCAGATAACATGATCTTGACCCTTAAGAAACTTGAATTAATGCTGTCACGTAACAAATCTGTTCAAATATAAAATTAAATTAATTACTAATTACTACATTGAAATAAAAATGTAAAGCCTGTACAAATATTAGAAATCGTGAATATAAATAATTGGGAATCATGTAAAAAAAAATTAAAAAAAATAAAAACAGTGCATTTTCATTTATCTATTATACCATTTCCTTATTAAAGTCCCAAAAATTGTCAAGTTTTTCGTCAGGTGTCTTTTTTTAATTATAAGATGTCATTACATTGCTGTCTTGCCGCCAGCCAATCGCTGCATTGCTGATAGTGGTTTAGAGTACAGAGCCCCTTTTAAACCAACCCATAAACGTGCAATTATCTCAGATAACTCAATCCAGCCATACTAATAATCAACAACAGGTGTGTTCGAAGAACCGAATTAGCCAGATCCTGATTAGCGCGATGATATCATCTTGGATGTGACATTTCATCTCGGATGTAATAAGCAACGTACGAAGAACGGGCCCCTGGACAGATAAATATCAGATTTCTTTTTTTTTTCATCATGCCACTCAGTGCTATCCAAAGGCAGGTTAATTTGGTTAATTTACATGTAATTCTGAGTGTTTTCAAGATTACAATCTTCTGGTTCTATCCAAGGATTTTTAAAACCTAAACCTCCCAGGCTGGTATTATTACAGTGTGAGTTCCTACGGTGCTAACCGAGGATGGATTCATGGCTCACGGTTCGCTTGTCTCCGACTTTCCACAGAGTTGCAAATTGTCCAAACACACTTCTTCCTGATGATGGAAACGATCGCTGCCCTTCGTGCTTAGGGGTTCAGCATCTAAAAGAGGCTCTGACTGATCCATGTTCGCATTGTAGTATACTTCCAATGTCCGAGAGACAGCTTCGCCTCACCGAACTGGATCCTAATTCGACTGCTAACCTTGCACAATATGACTCAGCCCTGTGGCGTGTTAAAAAAAAACCAAAGTGCATCAGCGGCTGCTGGCGCTCTGCCAGCAAAGATGACGACTTCGGAAAGATCAAAAAGGTCAAAGACCGCCTGTACTCTAGCTTCAGTGGCAGAGGCTGATTCCATTGGAGTGGGGCGGGCACCTGAGATCAAACAGCCAGTAGCAGCATTGGTTGTATCACCTGATGAAGCATTAAGAGGCAGTGTATGCTGCCAAAGTGCACAATGTGGACATACTGATGCATTGTTGAAGAAGGCATATGAGTCAGTAGCCTATATAACTCGAGCAGGAAATGCTATCTGCCAGCTGCTGCTTGCCAGCAACTCCACCTTAGAGTCATCAAATGCAGACACTAAAGTACTTCAGTTCCTTCAGACTGCTCTATTGGCTATGGGGCATGTGACTCGTGAGCTGGGAACACTCTTAGCAACACTTCTAACAGCTCGGCGCCAGGTATGGCTTGCTCAGGCAAGATTGGCTGAAGAAGACACTGCGGGAACTGCCAATTGTGCTGAGACATCTTTTTGGCCCCAGTGTCTCTGAGGTTTTAGAGAAGACAATGAATTTATCCGAAGCCACACAAAGCTGAATCGGACCCCACGGGCACCCTCTTTTAGGATGCCACCAGTTCCCGCTCATCCATGCTACTTAATTGCAGAGTAGCGACTGCACCACCACAATACTTCTCAACCTCAGATACCACCATGACAAAGAGTGGCTGAAGAGGCCCAGGGACGTCACAGTTTTCACCACCACCATCAGGGGGGACCACAGCCCCCCCACAGTTACTAAAGGCAGAAACTGAAACCATGAAATTCTCAGGCCAGCAGTCGGTCGTTTCTCAGTACAACATCTAGATTACTGGAGAATGTCAGTGTGCGACCCCTGGGTTCTGGCAACTGTGAGCAGGCGATACACTTTGCAGTTCCGACACTGACGTCCAAAGTTTATAGGAATCCTTCTAACAGTTGTCAAGGATCCGACCAGTTCTATTTCACTAGAAATGTGTTCGCTGTTGCAGGAAGAAGCCATAGAAAATCTTCCTCACCTCAGTCAAAGGGATGGGTTTTACTCCACATCCTTCCTCATTCCGAAGAAGGATGGAGGTTTTTGGCCAGTTCTAGATCTGCATTGCTTAAATGTGTTCCTAAAGTCTCTTCCTTTTCGTATGTTACACACAGTCAACATTCTTCGGTCTGTAATGGCAGGAGACTGTTTTGTGAGTGTGAACTCATACTTTCATGTCCCCATTGCTCCCCACCACAGGAAGTTCCTAAGATTCAGCTTTCAGGACCAAGCATACTAGTTCAGAGTTCTGCCATTCGGTCTCTCTCTGGCCCCTCGCATATTTACAAGATGCATGAGTGCAGCCCTCGCTCCTCTCTGGACCAAAGGCATGAGGATCCTTCCCTATTTAGGGAATTGGTTGCTTTGTGACCCAACAAGGCAACATGCTCTACACAACACCAGGATTGTGCTGGGACATATTCAGACACTGGGTCTTACTGTGAATGACACTAAAAGTAATTTGGTTCCAGTACAGTCCATAATGTTCATTGGCATGACACGCAACTCTCTCACAATGTCTTTCACACTGTCACATGCTCGAACAGACTCTATTTGTTACTTACTAACCCGTTTGCGACTGGAGTCAAAAATTCCTTATGGCGTCCTTCAACAACTAATTGCTGCTACATCCGTGATCCCACTGGATTTGCTTCCAAAGGTGGAGCAACAGACTAGACTCTGTGAGACATCGTCATCATATGGATGTGGTTTCTTCAGCTTGTGTCCGGACTTTGAAACCCTGGAAATGTTAACATTTCTTAGGGCCGGAGTGCCACTAGGAGTTGTGTGTTCTTGTTGGGAAGTGATCACAACAAAAGCTTCATCAACAGGATGGAAGAGACCAAGGATCCAGAGGGGGATTAGCGGTCGTTCGTCACCAAAGGAAACCTTGGAGCACATCAGTGTCCTGGAATTGAAAGAAGTGTACCTAGCACTACAACACTTCTTGCCACATTTAATAGGTCGCCATGTGCTGGTCAGGTCCGACAACACATCGACAGTGTTTCACTTGAATCACCAGGGCGGGACCAGGTCTCTTGCATCCTTTCAGCTAACTCGCAAAATATCTCAAATGGTCTCCGTATTGGCTAGTCTCATTAAAGGCAGTTAATCTCACAGGATCAGACAATCAAGTAGCGAATGTGTTATCCAGGGATTTGCTGTCCCCTGGGGAATGGAGGCGTCACCCGGAGGTAGTACAGCTGAATTAGCAGCAGTTTGGCAAGGCAGAGGTCGTCCTGTTGAGTTGACCACTCATTGCCGCTGGTTTGTGAGGATAGAAACATCCAGTCCATTGGGTAAGAATGGGACGAGACCCAGCTCGTCTTCAGCTTTGGGTTTGGCCACTGGGTCATGAACATGATTCAAGTAACTTTTACTTTATTACCCCTTTAGTTAAACAAAATTCTATTCCAAGTGCACCACACATGAAGTTGTCAACATGATGTAAACGTTAAACAAATGTAACTTTGTCGCTCGGAATGCACGAGAAGTGTTCCGAGGCTGAGCTACTGCGGTTTATATCCTTGTGGCTAGGTCTGTGTCATGATGTGACCTTGTGGAAACATTTTTCTTGACCCATCTAGCTGATGTTGCGATTATCCACTAGTGCTTAGCACCACCTCTGGTGGTCATCCGGAATTCACAGAACCACAGTTGCATACGTAACTAGCGTTTTCCATTGTTTTTATGAGATCAGAAGCTGAACAGGCAAAGCCAAAGAAAGTAAAATTTATTTGGCAATATGTATTTTTGTTTGCCAATAATTTTATTTATTTTATTTATTTATTTTTATTTCTGTCAAGCTAATCCCAGCTGTGTGGTAACTATGTCTAAAGCCGCGGTCACGCTGCACTTTTCGCTCCATTGACTTCCATTCATACGCATGCGAATGCGTCAGACCGGAAATGCAAGCCCACGTGAAAAGTTTTTGCATTTCGCTGCGTTCCAAAGTTCAAACTTGGTGAACTCTGGCCTGCGAATTCACATCACGTGACACCGTGTGACCAAAGGCAGGTCGATACGTCACAGCATGACCTCGTGTCTGAATTAAAAGAACATAAATTTAAAACTGCAGCACTGCAGGAAAGTGGAGTAGATTTTTACATTTTAGATGTATTATAATTTGTTACGTGTTGAATTTAAGTTTTTAAAAAGATGCTGCACATCTTTTTTTACGTCATATAACGACCGTTGCAGCATGCAAAACAATTTTGCATGCTCAAAGTCTAGTGTGATCGCGGCTTAACACCCTTTTCTCAAATAATTTTGTATTGAATGGTTCACTTGAAATTTGAAGTGTGTCTGTGTGTGCAGCAATTTTTTTTTTACTGAAACAGCCATTACATGACCTCGTGTCTGAATTAAAAGAACATAAATTTAAAACTGCAGCACTGCAGGAAAGTGGAGTAGATTTTTACATTTTAGATGTATTATAATTTGTTACGTGTTGAATTTAAGTTTTTAAAAAGACGCTGCACAGCGTGATGTCACATCATGACCGTTGCAGCATGCGAAACAATTTTGCATTCTCAAAAAGTGGCTTTAAGGGGCGGTCACACTAGACTTTGAACGTGCTAATTTTTTCCGGACACTGCTGCAAATATGGGTGGGAGTAGGATATGACAATAATAATAAAAGATGCTGCACATCTTTTTTTACGTCATATAACGACCGTTGCAGCATGCAAAACAATTTTGCATGCTCAAAGTCTAATTTTGTATTGAATGGTTCACTTGAAATTTGAAGTGTGTCTGTGTGTGCAGCAATTTTTTTTTTACTGAAACAGCCATTATCCTGAAATAGAACAGAGAAAGATTCTCTCCAAACTGGGTTACATCTGTCCGCTTGAATGGATTAATTCGTGGTCATGTTTACGCACACATCAAGAAACCTGAGGCAGAGTTCTGCTTTCTGGAGCATAGTGTTTACCATAATTGGTTTGCTTGAATTTTAGAGAATTCATTTTTAAAGCCTCTTTTGATGGTGCAGAGGGAAGGGTAAAACCAATTAGATTCCATGGATGAGGTTAAACGTATCCTCATTCCATGTGTTCATTCCACTCATGGATTTTAAAATTATGATTTCGTGCTCCAAGAAGCCTAGATTTTTAGGTGCCAAAAAGTGTTTGCATTTATTCTGTATAATGTAGCTCGTTGGCTGGAGTCCAGTTTAAAAATATTGTAGTTGTGAATGTTATTTACAGATACTTAAAGAATAATGTTGAAATTACTTAATTATTCACACAGCGATTACAGGCTGCAGTAGAAAAACGGAATGAGATCATATCACAGCTTAGTGAAAACCTGCAGGTGGCACTGCAGAGCAGAGACCAGGTACAGCTGGAGGCACAGCAGCTCACTGGTCAGATTCAGGCACTACAACAGCAGCTACAGCAGGTAAAGTTCATACATTTATTAAAAAAAGAAATGTCCCAATCTTGCCTCAAGTCCTCAGCACTGATTCATTCAAACAGACCCTATTTAATTTTAATGGAGTGCTTTTATAACTTAAAGCGATCGTCAGATTTGTGATCTTAAGAATGAATAATGTTTAGGTTGTAAAGGATAAAATGGAAAAATGCTGGTCTCTGTTAGACATGAAAAAATGATGACTATTGTTGACTTCTGCTAACAATATCCTTGATCCTCTGAATATGGAGAGTCCAAAATGACTTGGCCTCCCTAATGGCCAACTGAACAAAACCTGTTAGTGCTTAGTCCCCATCGTGTAACAAATTGGTTATTTTTGTTCTTGTTGTTGTTCATAATGGAACACAACAGTAGGAGTCTAAATGAATGAAATGTAAAACTACTTGCAGGCTAAAGAATATCTACGTAGCAAAAGTCAAGGGAGTGTGGATCTGACCCAGGCTGTTCAGAATCGGCTGCATGTACAATTGGAGGAGTCGCAACCGGTTAGGACACGTGTCTTTTTAATAGTCAAGCTTGTCATTGAAGCAAAATATGCACTTTTGTTTTATCAAAATGTATGTTACATTTGTTTTATAGATGACTAAGGAGCAACAGTGCCTTTTGGCCCAAAAAGAAACGGAGATCACAGATCTGCAACAGAAATTGTGTGTCATGGAAAAATCCCTCTCTCAGCTTCAACATGCCTTTACCCAGAGAAGTGGTGATCAAAAAGATCTAAGACTTGACCAACATGGTAGTTTAGATTTATCCACTGTCAGCCCTCTGTTCCCAGACAACAGTCCTGACTTAGACTCTGAAGCTTTAATGCAAAGCTTTAGAGCTGAGCTAGAGGAAGAGCATAAGAACAGCCAGCGAGCTCAAGAACAAGTAGAAGCATTTCAGAAGAGGGTACAGAGTCTGGAGAGTGAGAAGACCCTGATGGAAGCTCATCTGGCTGCAGTTAATGAAACACAAGCCCAGGAAGCCCAGAAATATAAAGCAGAGAAAGATAAACTGAACCAAGAAATGGCTAGATTAGATAACCTTGTGAAGGAGCTTCAAAATCGTCTTCATGAAGAGGAGGAGACGGGTCGCCATATGCGTTCCAAATATGAAGCCGATATTTCCAATTATGATCTCAGGCTTCAGACTCTGGAGGAGGAAAGGGAATTGAATGTAGCCCAGCTAACCGAAGCTCATGAGGCTGCTCTTAGTCGCCTGCAGAAGGAGCACTCTGATGAGATCCATTGCATCCAGGAGCTTCTGAAACAGGCCCAAAGTCAGCATACCGATTCTCATCATAATGTTTCCAAAAACTTTGGTGCAGACGTACCCTGGAAAAAAGTCTCCAAAGAGCTTTACAATGAGGAGACAGCCACTGAGAGTGCAGGCAGAGATGACTATAGTTTTGACGTCCCTACAGGGGGTTTCCAGGATGTTCTGATGGAACGTTACTTGGCCTCTGAAGGGCCTCAAGAAAGCTCATTAATTGAAGGGAGTATGGAGGAGTGTAGCCTGATGGAAAACTCTGAGATGTCCAGGTTTGAGCTAGACAGTGAGGTTATATTTCACACTTCAGATGTCCCTAACAATGTCACATCTGATGGTGATAAGTCAGAGCCAAGACTGTCTGTAGTTCATAGTATTGAAGTGCCTCAACCTGATGAAATGTCCTTCACTGATGCCCAGTGGCAAAACTCAACCTCAGTTGTTGAAGAGCTGAATGATAGCACAGGCACTGTGGACTTGGCAAAAGAGCTTCTAATCCAGCAGTGCCGAGACCTGTCAGAGCAGTTAGAAGAGCGGGAACGACAGCTTGAGGTTCTTCAAGCGGAGGTTCAGCACTCTGCTGAGGAGGTTGAGGAGGCACGGGAGCGTTGGAGCAAAGCTTCAGAGGAGCTTGAAGAAGCTAAGTGGGAGCTGGAGATGGAACGTGAGAAAAGAATTCAGTATGAGGAAGTTATCAGCCAGAAAATGCATGAAGAAGACAACCTCAAGAACATACTGAGTCACCTGCAGATCCAGAAACAGCTGCAGCTTCAGGACAATGAAAGGTTAATGCCTGACAACACTGACTCCAATAAGACCTCAATCTTTTTATCTATAGAGGAGTTGTTAAAGGAACTAAAGGAGGAAAATGCCCAATTGGTGCTACAGCTCAAATGTCAGGAGCAGCTAGTGAAGGATGTCCATGAGCAGAAACCAGCATTGGACTCTATAAATAGTGAGCTTTCCTCTTTGCAAGCTCGGAGAGATGAATTTCTACTTCAGCTGGAGCAACAAAGGGAAAAAAACCAAGCTACTTCAGTGCTGCTTGGTCAAAGGACCTTGCAGGTGGACCAAGCCAATAGAGAGCTTCAGCAGCTTAAAGCTGAAGTGGAAGAGAAGGTTGGAAGGTTGCAGAACTTGGAGAAAGAAAAGACAGACCTTGAATCTAAGCTAATGTGCCTTAAAGAGAACCTCAACAACATGGAAGAGGAGAAAGCTACCCTTGAAAGACGTCTCCAAGCTTTGGAGGACCAAGCAAAGAGCATGGAGGTGGTTCTAGAATCAGAACTGAAGAACTTTGAGGTTTGAATCTTAATTGCTCTTTTGAAATGTAGTTTATATTTAATGTATAAACCACAATATGTGCTGCTGGTTCAAGTATTGTAACAAGAACGAACAAAAGAATACATTTGCGTGCCCTGTTTGTGGAAAACCTGGAAACTTGTAATGTTTTATGTATTTGACACATAATTATGGTCCTCAAAATAACACTCACTTTTCTATCTAGCACCAACTTGAATCAAAGGATGCAGAGCTCAAGGAAGTTAAGGAAGCACAAGAGAAGGCAGAAGAGGAATACATGGAAAAGGAGAGTGCCTTAATGAAAGAGCTCATCACAGTCAAACAGGATCTGGAAGAAAAACAGAAGCAACATGAGGAGGAGAAGAGAATTCTGGAAAAGAAACACCAGAAAGAGGCGAGAACCATTTAATGAAAGTGACTGGGAAGAATGTCCATTTAAAAGAAAAACAAGTGAAAAAGACAAGTTGAGTAAACTAAATAAATAAAAATAAACTAAATATTTCATGTTTCCTACCTCCAGGTTAAATACTTGAATGTACGTTTTGAGCGGGAACATTCTGAACAGTCTACTCATCTGGAAGATGAGCAGAAGAGACAGATCAGCTTGATTAAACAGGTTAAACAACTTATTTAACTTTATTTACCATATAAAAGGGTGGAATACACATTGCTATGATTCATATGGCTCTCTTAAGTTGTGTACACTGGTCTTTGTCAACTCTGCTGTCTTAGGTCTATGAACGAGAGCATGAGAGGGAGCTGACGCAGCTGGCAGCCCAACATAGTGAGGAAATCTGCATACTTAAAGATGAGCTCTCCAGGGAGCTGCAAGACGGCCTGGAGGCTGCACACCAGGCTGAGCTGCTCCAAACACAAGTACTTGTTGGATCTCAGGATTTTCATTTGAGTCCTGGGGTATGTTTTGGAATGCGATGGTGACAAGCTGCTCAATACATATAGCGTTCAAAAGTAAGATTTTGAAAGGAAGAAATTAGTACTTCTATTCAGCAAGGATGCATTAACTTGATCGAAAGGAAAGAAATGTATAATGTTTCAAAAGCTTTCCATTTCAAAATTATCCCATTCTTTTGAACTTTCTATTTACTAAAAGTCCTGAATTTTTTTTTAATCAAGGATCATGTGACACTGACTAATGGCTGCTGAAAATTCAGCTCTGCCAAGCATTTTAAAATATATTAATTTGGAAAACTGATATCTTATTGTGTTGACAATGTTTCACAATTTTACAGTTTTTATTGTATTTTTGATCAAATAAATGCAGCCTTGGTGACTTTCAAAAACTTTTTTAAAAATCTTACCGACCCCAAACTTTTGAACGGTAGTGTGTATTTTTAATTGTCTAAGAAATGGAATGCAGTATTGCACTGGTATCTGAACTATTTACATAAAGTATTCACACTTTCTGCTGCTTAAAATTATAGTATTAGATCAATTTTTATTTAATTAAAAAAAACAATAACTGCATGTGTTTCCAATTGATATGCAACCCCTGCCAATTAATGGTATTATTAGCCATGTAAACCTCACGAAAATGTAAATGCCTTTTTCTTGGCCAGTTGCCTACATCTCTACAGCAGCATGAGCACAGGATCTCAGTAACTGGCTATGACCTCTGTTATGCTATGACCCTGTTTCTGACAAGTATGTGTACTGCATTCCTTATAGCAGTACAGCAATGTGCCATTCTAAACGTACCCATATTTTAACTGCTTTCCTTCTGTTAACCTCTAACCACAATTCCACTTAGTCATGTTGGTTGTTTTACTCTTTATAATCAGAGCCAGCACAACCTGGAGCTGGAAGCCTTGCGTCTGAGCTTGACCAACTTGCACACTGCTCGGCTGGAGCTTTCTCAAACCAACATGCAGAAAGATAAGGAAGTGGCCCTCAGTGAGCTGCAGACCATGTTACGAGAGAAATGGGCACAGGAAAGCGCCATGCTGCAGACGCGCCAACAGTTTGAGCTGGAGAGAATCCGGGGTCAGAGCCAAGAGCAGGAACAAAGAAACCAGCGACTGCACCAACAAGAGATTGGTGAGGGTTTGGCCTGTAGTTTAAATGTTGTTCTTTGTAATATTATTTTAGTACTGTGACAATGCAGTGAGATGTGTGCTTGCTTGAAAAGTATATGCGTGTATTTTTTTGATTTGTATGTTCTGTCACTATAGATAATCTGAACCGGGAATGGGAGAAGAGAGTTTTGGAAGAGAAGAGCTTAGTGGAACAGTTGCAGGCCTGTAAACTAGAGGTAAACGAGAACTTTTTTCCCTTTTTTTCTTCAGTAGACAAACATCTTGACCCACTGAAATATTGGTGTTTGCCTGGGATTAGCGGGGATGTGATTCTTCTGGATTAATCCAGGATTCAGTTTTTTTTTTTGGGGGGGGTTACAGCATGATGATTGAAATCGCACAAATGGCCTTAAGCAATGAACTAGATAAACTTCAAAAAGATTGTTTTCTAAAGCATCATGGACTGAATGGTCCTGAAAGCGCTGATCGAGCTCGCGGTGCCTTCTGCAGGACAGTTAAAAGGGTTCAAATGGTTTATAGCACCAAATGTGAGTAGAATCAGCGTGTTACTGAGAGTAGAAACAAAGGTATTACTTGCCCGGAAATTTTTATGAATGGTGGTGAGAATTTGAGATTGCTTAATACAGTCATAAAATTTGCAACAGTTGTGATGTAATTGCATAAATATAGGCTATAGTCTGACGCTGTACATGTCTGCTGTAACAGTACTGTGTTTTCAGTGTCGATTCACTGTAAGTGCTAGCTGCATCAGAGTCCTTTTAATTTGCATTTGGGAATGCAACATTCAACATTAAAATAGTTTATAAATCTGTTCTTGTTTACAAAGGGAAGCTTCAGTGTCACATGATCGTTTAGAAATCATTCTAATATGCTGATTTGCTGCTCGAGAGACATACTCGAGAGTATTAAAAAAACGTTTTTGCTGCTTAATTTTTGTGGAAACAATGAGACCACTCAAACATTTGTGGTAATATTTAAAAAAAAAAAAAAAAAAAAAGAGAGAGAAATTGGTAATTTTATTCATCATACATTAAAATGGTAAAGTGAGTGAAGACATTTAAAATGTTTCAAAATATTTCTGATTAATAAATGCTTTAACAAATGTAATAAATATATTTGATAAATGCTGTACATTGAACTTTGTATTTATCAAAGAATCCTGAAAAATGTATCACCATTTCCACACAAAATATGAAGCAGCACAACTGTTTTCAACATTGATAAGCAGAAATGTTTCTTGAGCATCAAATCAAAGCTCATGTGATGCTGAAAACTGGTGTAATGATGCAGAAAATTCTGCTTTCCATCACAGGAATAAATTACATTTTATAATAAATTAAAATGGAAAGCTTTTTTTAATTTGTAATAATTCACAATATTGCTGTTTTTACTTTATTTTGATCAAATAAATGCAGCCCTGATGAGCAGAAAAGTTTTATTTCAAAATGATTAATTGTAATGTTTCCAAACATTTGGCAGGTACTTTAATAATAACAATTCTATTAATACTTTTATTATATTATAATGATTATTAAATGCTGCTCTTTATTTTTACATTTGACATTTTTTTTAATGTGATAAAAATATATATTTTAAATAAGTGTTGGATTTTCCTGCTTTTTTTGTCTCTAGCTGATCACATGCATGGACTAGGTGTGAAACGGGCTTGTGCAGTTTGTTTTCTTTTCTCTGTAGGATCTAAAGGCTGAGTTGCTCTTGGAGGCTGAGAAGGTCAAGACAGAACTCCAGAGTCAATTAAATGATGCGCATCATAAACTGAGTGAGACCCAGGCAGCTTTCACTGAGGCTGAAGTAGCTCTGTCTGAGACACAGGGTAGGCTAGACGAACTGCAGAGTTCCAGAGATCAAGATGTCAAGAATCTGGAGAAGGAGCTCAAGCAGGCCTTGACTGACAGAGATGCTGCTGCACGTGAGTGTCATTTAAACAACTGTGTGAGCTAAGTCATATTGACAGTGATATGGTTTACTGGCCCAGTTTATGGGTGTTTTCACACCTGGATTGTTTGGAGTGTTTGTTTTAGAACCTGATGCAGTTTCTCCCTTAGTTCGGTTTAAGCCTATATGAATACACCACCATAACAATTGGCTCAAGTTCGCCCGAACGATGTTGTCTTAGCTCAGTTGAAAACTCTGTAGTGGTTCAGTTGTGGTGAAAGCATTGCAACCCAACGGACCAACAAACTAGTCAGCATCATATTCCATAATGGAAAATGCAAATGAACCAAACCAAGAAGAAAATGCAACGTTGTAAATATTGAAGGCTGCAAACGATAAGCAGGTCTGAATTTGCCCTGAATTCCCCTCCTTTCCTATTCAGGTGCAGTTGAGGAGTTGGTTGCATGTCACAAGGCAGCACTGCAGGAGAAACGGGAACATTCCCGAGCCCTGGAGCAGAGCGGAAAAGAGCTGAAACAAGAGGTACCATGCACATCTCGTATTTGTTGCAACAATATTGCAGTACAGATGTTTTATTTCTGTTTGTACTGAGACAACATCTTTGTGAAAGGTTGACCGTCTACAGTCAGAAAAGGAGGAACTGAAGACCAATTCAGAACAGGAGATCTCAAACCTCTGGTCCCAGCTGGAGAGCATGAGAACCAACAGACAGGATCTCGGAGGCATTTCCCTTTTAAAATTTTCTGCTTTTGAATATCATCTCTGTGGGCTTAGACTGCTGTATTGTTTTACTCATTTATTATTTATAATAAAACCAGTTTTATTTCTTCTGAATTGATTATTTATTTTTCTTTCAGTAAAGTTCTTCTTGTTTAGTGTTGATGTGAATTACAAAGACCTGTAATTCTTTCTTTCTCTTTAGAGCTGAAAGAGCAGTTGCTAGCACGCTCAGCGCGTGTTGATGACATTGAGCGACTAAAACAAGAGTTCACTCTGCAGCGGCAGGAAATCAAAGAGCAGAATGAGATCGAGCTGGAAAACCTCCGTACCTATTTCGAGCAGAGACTCCGGGTCACAGAAGAGAGTCATCGGGAAGAAATCGCACTCCTGCAGCTGCGCCTTGTAGAGGGAGCCCTGGAGGACTCGGTGCTCAAGACTGGAGATGCAAGGTTTGCTTAGATTTCCTGGTTCTGGGGTTATAGACTTGTGGTAAAGTCAGCCCAAGACTATATTTTAGTGTCGTTAGTGATTTCTGTATTTTGAAATCTTGCTTTGTGTTTGTGCATGCATTTACATTATTATACAATTGAGAATCATAGGCCCCATTTATACCTGGTCCACCTGGTCTGATTACCTCAGATTGTTATTTATATCAGGTGTAAACATTGGCACTTGTATCCTGCAATGTAGGTGAGGGAATAATACAGCTCCAGTAATTCATCCTATAGCAGAAATGACCAAACCAGGGCCCGTGGGCCAAACTTGGCCTTTTGATTTGGCCCACCAAGCCATTTCACAGTAGGGGCATGTTTTTTTTTTTTTCATTGAAATGTAGAGAATGTAAGTAAATGTAATTAAAACATTTTTAGTTTTAATATAGCTAAATAAAGGCCCGACATTTAATTTTCAGCCCAAGTGAGTGAAGAGAGTTGAACAAATGGATAGTTTATGTTTGTTAAAACTAGAGTAAAGGTAACAAAATGTTGTTTTGTAGCTTTCTTTCAGAAGGGAAGAGTGACGATGACAGGAGTGATGCTATGGAAGAGATCACAAGACAACTAGAGAAAAACAAGGTGAATTGTGTTTTAGTTGGTGGTGGTGAATTTTATTGAGATACACTTCATAAAATCAAAGTTACCCATAATTTACTACTTGTCAGTGTTGCAGCAGTTCGCATTATTCCAAAAAAAGTTTATCCTAATCTTTCAGCATTTTCAAATGACTACCATTGACCAATTTATTAGTATAATAAGTTGGGGACAAGCTAATGTGTGTATGTGCTCTTTGCATGTACTGTAACTGTGTTGGTGTGTTTGCAGGAGGAGCTGGATTCCCTGCGGCTCCAGTTAGAGGAGAGACACCAGCAGGAACTGGAACAGCTGCGGTCCAGTATGGCTCTGACTTATAAAGAAGAGCTACTCCAGGCTCGCACTGATCTCACTGACCGATACTACAAAGACATTGACCAGCTCAACACCAAACATGCCCATGAACTAGAACAGCTCCGTGCCAAACTCTCAGACAACCATATCAAAGGTTAAACTTTGTTCAGTGTGCTCCAAGCTTTACATTTTCAGTTTTTTTTTTTCCTTTTGTTGAACACTCTAGCAACCACATAGCACCATGGTTAAAAACCACTCAGAAAACCACCTCAGCACCACATTTGCACACCCTGTTGAGTTTTTTTTTTTAAATTGAAAATATTCAGTCAGGATGCTTTTGATCAAAAGACTTTTAAATTGTTAGAAAAATATATATTTTAAAGAAATAGTTGTTTTGGACTTTGTTCATCAAAGAATCCTGAAAAATGTGTCACGGTTTCCACAATTTTAATATTTTATTTAATTTAAATTTTCATTTCAATTAAAAAAAACATTAATTATAATCATTCACAATATTACTGTTTGTTTTCTGTATTTTTGATTTAATAAGTGCAGCATCAGTAACTTCAAAAACATCCTCAAACTTAAATATATATAAAAAATTATTATATAAAAAACATTGTTTTAAATATTTTTCTTTTTTTCATCAGAAATAAACAAGATACGGCTACAGTCTGCACAGGAAGTAGTGAGGCAGGTGGAGGCTGAGGTGAAGGAGAGTACTCATGAGCACCAGGCCAGGGTGACCCAGCTGGAGACCCAGCTATCTCAGCTCTCCCTAATACACTCAGTGCAACTGGAAAAAGTGGCGGCGCAACACCGAGAGCAGCTCAGACGGATGGAGGACACAGTAAGTGTGTGCATAACAGCAAGCCTTTATACTTGATACAAAAGGGCTTTGGTGAAGATTGTTGCCAAAGGCTGGTACCAAGCACTGTCATAAGGCGTAAAAATAGTGGTCATGCTGTAGACAGCTGAAACTTTTATGCTGATTATTCTGGAGACCCTTTAGCAATACTGTAACATTATCAGTATCAGTGGTATCTATTTATTTATTTATTGACCACTGTTCTTTTCCTTTTAAAGCATCAGAAAGATGCTACTGAAGAGATGAGGGTGCGCCTTGAAGAAGTGCAGAAGGCAGAGCGGAATCGTGTGACTGAGGAGTTCACTAAAGAGCATGCCCGGCTGAGGGAGCAACTCCAAATTCTGGCTGAGGAGCGCTTGGCATCCCAGAGAGAGGAGCTTCAGAGATCTGCCCTTAAAGAGAAAGGGGCGTTGGAGCAGAGGCTTCTAGAGGTCCAAAAGCTCCTTGATGTGGAAAAGGAGAAGCTTCAAGCCCTGCAAAGGAGTTTGGAGTGTGAAGAGAGCCCTCAGGTGGTAGTGTTGAAGCAGAAACTCCAGGCTCAATACGACAGAGAGATGTCCACTGCTAAGAGCGCCATGGCAGCAGAGGTGAAAGAGCTGAATGTTCTACTTCAGGATCAGATAGAGAGCAAGCTACAAGAGGCCCTCTGCAGGTCAGAGACTGCATTACACTAAAGCCACATGCATGTTAATATCATTGGCAAATGCAATCCAGAGGTGCTTAAAAGTCAGTAGTCCTTACTATTGCTTATACTTTATTTTTAAACAACATACGGGTGCACGATTTGGGGAAAAATATCATTGCAAATATTATTTTTTTATGATTTAAAAATTTGGATTTGCAGTTTCAAATGAGTTTTATTTTTATTGTCCACAGGGCTGCACATTTTTGGCCTATAATTTATTGTTGTTATTATTATTTACTAAATAAAAATATTAAACAAAATAAGAAATACTACTATTATAAGTCACTAAGAAAAAGATTCAATACTTCAGAAAAATATAATAATAATAATGTATAGTACAACTGTAAAATTCCAGTACTCTTATTATTTATGGATGACTTTAATTTCTTCATTCAAATGTTAAACCATCAAGATTTTATTTTGGCAGAAAACCTCAGGGAGCCCTAAAAGTTTCTCTGTTGTTGAAAACAGCCAGTGTATAAGGACTTCTCATAACATCACATTTGGGACACAATATGCACCAAATATCTTCCCAAACTTGTAATAAGAGACCTAAACTCCGCACATGAAGAGATGAAGTTTGTGTGGAGCATCATTTACTGTTAACCCAGCTGCTTGGAATCACTGAAAACACTTGATCATGAGCTGCTTGCATGTAAAAAGAACACAGTGCTGTGCTTCACTCTTTAAAAAAACACAGTGCATATGTTTAATTCATTTGCAGCTTTTGCTATTTGATAATTATGCAATTTCTTTTTTTTTTTTCATAATCATTAATCCTACAGCACTAGAACAACCCTCTAAATCTTATATTTAGGTAGCATGGTTGTGCCAATTTTTTTCTTGTGCACTAAAAATATTTATTTTTTATTATTTTGTCAGAACAATGTACAACAAAATGGAGAATTGGAGTAAATCCAATTTGTTCATTATCATCTGTGTGTCATACATGTAGGCACCAAGAAGAGCAGAAACAACTGGAAGAGAAGTTGACCCTTCAGAGAGATGCTACCCTTGATCAACAGAGAGAACGGCATGCTGTGGAGCTGCAGGCCCAGAAAACGCTCCTGGATGAGAGAGCTGCACAATTAGAGCGTCTTGAAAAGGACTGTCAGGAACTCAAAATACACCACTGGGAGGAACTGGAATCACTGAGGACCAGTCACAAAATGGCCCTGGAGACCTTGCAGATGGAGCTTACAAATAAACACAAGGTAGAGCTCGACAGATTGGAGGCGGTCCTTCAGGAGACCAACCTGGCACAGCTTGAAGCTCAAGAGGCGGAGCTTCAGGCACGACACAAACAGGAGAGGGAGGAGCTTGAGGAGAGGCTGTTGGCGAACATGGATACACTGGAGAGCACGTTCTTGAAAGAAATTCAGGCAGTACAGGACGAGAAGGAAAGAGAACTGCGTGACCTTGTAGAACACTATATTGGAGAGATTGAAAGGGTGAGAAAGGAGGAGCAAACCATCAGAGAGGACCTCAGAAGTGAGCTTGCTAAGGTCCATATGGATAAATTCAGCGCCATGGCAGCAGAATTGAATCAAGCCCATCAGGTAAGCACAGTAATGGAGGGATTCATTTATTTAGTGCAGGTTTAGTTCATTGGCCATGGAAAGTTTATTGCAGGAGCAACATCTAGTGTGTTACCTTGCTCATGCAGGCGGAGATCTCTGAAGCCGTCTCCTCTCAGAGGGCTGCTCTGGAGGATGAGCATAGATCTGCTCTGGAAGCTCTTCAGCAACAAGTAGTTGCTTTAGAGGAGCAGCATAGCGCCGCCCTTCTGGAGATCACTGATCTTGCCGCTGCAGCAGAAAAGCAACATGAGCAACAACTGGATGTGCTGGCTACTCAATATCAGCAACAGCTACAGGTATGTGTTCAGGAGGACAAGAACAATAAGAGCCTGAGTGTGTCATTTTCATTTAGATGTGTTCAGCCTTTAGCATGGATTTAGCATAGAAAAGTCTTGTTTAAACCGTAAGAAGATAAGAGCTACTTTCATTAACTCTCCTCTCTACCTCAGGAGTTAAGAGGAGTGTCTGCCAGGGAGCTGGAGGCTCTCCGTAGGGAATTAGAGGAAGACGCGTCAAGGCAACGCCTCCACTTCCTGGAAGAGGCAGAGCTTCTCAAGTGCAAGTCTGAGGAGCTGTTGCAGCAGAAAATTGCTCGGTTAAAGGTGAGAGGAGGTGGTATTAGTTTAAAAGTAGCCGTATTCTATCAGTGTTTCTTGCAGTTGGCAGTTTTGGGGAAAATTACTTTTAAAAGTGCATTACAATATTTAGTTACTCCCTAAAAAAGTAATCTGATTATGTAACTTGCGTTTCTTGTAATGCGTTACCCCTCAACACTGGCAGTTGGTGGTGCTTTTTGTTTGTTTGTTTTTGTTTTTCCTCTCCCTTATTCTAAAAAAAAAAAAAAAAAAACTATCAATCTCACAAATCTCTGTGACCCTTTTAAGCAGGCTTGGCAGGGACCCTGTTGGTCTTTTAAAAACCCTGGGCTAGGCCAAGCTGAATATTGAATAGATATTAATATGAAAACAAGTCCAGAATCAACGCTGATTGCACATTGATTAGCTGAAAGCATGTCATAAGAAACATTGGCACTCACCATTTTTAAAAAGCTGCGCAAACACACAGTTTACAAATACTTGCTCCTCAAGCTAGCTCCACAAACATGGGAAACTGCTTGGTGGACCGATGCAGAAGTCCAGTCACTCCATCCTCCAGTTGATGACATGCTTAAATGTAGCTGTCGGCTAGCTTACATCACTTCAGAGTTCTGAATCCTGCTGTGAATGCAACCAGGAAAATGGCCCTTGGTGAAAATGTATTTCTTGGGGGACCAACCTAGTGGTTTGTTCCTATAACTGAGTTTCTGTAACTTTTAATAGACCATCAAATTGTAAACACTGGCACTAAATTAGACTTAAGAGTTTAGCTGCTTTTATAGACTGTTGCGTATAGCCTGCTTCTCTCGCCATCTCATCGAATAAGTATTAATTCGTCATGTTTAATTTGACTGGTAAAACTTGCTTTTTATCTTTTTCTTTCAACTTGTCTATGTTGTCGTTATTGCTGTGTTCAGTATATGAACATTTGTGCATATGCTACTCTCGTAGACATGGTTATGCACAATAGCTAAGCTTATTGGGGGAGGGAGTTAACATCTGGAGCAGGGGGACGGTCCACTCTAAACTCAAATTAACACTAATCCCCACCCTGTGCTGTACAATATACAGTAGCTTCCATTATTCATAGTAAACCTTTTCTTTAGATTGGATGCTATCAGATGTTTGCGTTTGAACTTGTAGAGCAGTCCTCTAGCTGAAATCGGTCAGCAAAGGGGCTTTCTGAGATTTTACCCTGGTTGGTTTGTCAGTTGGCCACTTTCGCATTGGCGCATTAGAGAGGTCCTCTCTCAGTATTAATCCTACAGATGGGAGGAAGTGTAGGGACACGTGAGTGATGACTGACTGATTGAGGATTTGAGGTTTGTGTGAGGCTTTTTTTTTTTCTGTGATTTGTCAATGATCTTTTAATTCTTTATAGAGATCACTATGTAAATTCTGATTTAAGTTAGATTCCAACCATTTGGCTGATGTCTGTTTTGGAGGTGAGAATGTAAAGCTGAGGAGTGATACAGGAGTTATCGCTTCTCTACGTGTTTCTTCAGTGTTGCCTGTGACGTGCATGTGTGTCTTTCAGGAGGAGAGTGACCAGGACAAGGCTGCTGCTCTTGAAGAGCTGGAAAGGACTTTAAGACAGAAACACGAGCAAACTGAACTCGCCTACAGTGACAAGATGAGCCAACTCAATGTGCAGTTACAGCAGCTGGACACTGTAGTGTCACAGGTACAGCACACAATCAGTCATATTGCCACACAGACCATGTTTACAGCTGGTATTAAAGGGTTAGTTCACCCAAAAATTAAAATTAGCCCATAAATTACTCGCCCTCAAGTCATCCTAGGTGTATATAACTTTCTTCTTTCAGACGAATCCAGTCAGAGTTATATAAAAAATTGTCTTTGATCTTTCAAGCTGTTTAATGCCAGTCAGCGGGTGTTGCATGCATCAGTTCAAAAGAAGTGAAATAAAAAGCGCCCATCCATAAAAGTAAAAAAAAGTGTCTCCTACGGCTCCGGGGGGTGAACAAAGTCCTCCTGTAGCGAATCGATGCATTTTTGTAAGAAAAATAACCATATTTAAAGCGTAATAATCAATTTAATCTAGCTTGCGCTCACTGTTGTAAACGGAAGCAGTTCTGGGTGGATGACGTATAAGTTCGGCTTTGTGCATGCGCCGCTCAGAAGTGACGAACGCGGAAGCACAGGGGAGAAAACAAAACAACGGTCACGAATTAGAAGTACAAAACGAGGATTTGTAAAGAAGAATGTCTGAGGATTCCGATATAAGCCAAGAGGAGACTGGTTTTCCTTTGCTGAAGTAAGGAAACTTTGCTTCCTTTGCTCCTGTTAACAAACATTAGTTTTCACGAGACTCACCGGCGCAACGCTGACCTCATACGCCATCCGCCCGGAGCTGCTTCTGTGTACAACTGTTGGTGCAAGCTACTCTAAAGGGATTATTACGTTTTGAATATGGATATTTTTCTTACAAAAACTCATCGATTCGCTACAGGAGGCCTTTGTTTACCCCCCAGAGCCGTGTGAGACACTTTTTTATTTATTTATTTATTTATTTTATTTTTTTATGGATGGACGCTTTTTATTTCACATCTTTTGGACTGAAGCAATGCAACACCCGCTGACTGGCATTAAACAGCTTGAAAGATCAAAGACAATTTTTGATATAACTCTGACTGGATTCGTCTGAAAGAAGAACGTCATATACACCTAGGATGCATTGAGGGTGGGTAATTTATGGGCTAATTTTCATTTTTGGGTGAACTAACCCTTTAAGATGCATCTGTGTCGATCCAAACAAGTCAATGTTTCCCACAGACTTACACTCTATTTGTGGCAGCAGATGGGTTGATTGATTGAAAATGCAAATTAATTCTCTGCCAGCAGGAGGCGCTTTAAGAATGGCAGAAATAGCGGTTTCCCCCGGTAACGGCTGCTCCACTCATAAAGGCTGCTTTATCAGGCATTATAGGAAAAATGAAATTAAATGAAAAGCTATTATCTGTAATAAATGAATAATAAATAGGGATGCACGATATATCGGCCACCATATCGGTATCGGCCGATAAATGCTAATTTTTTCTGTTATTGGTATCGGCCTGATAAGAAAATTTGGCCGATATCTTAAAGCCGATAATTAATGCATTATTTCCTTCAGAGACACTTCAGATGCGCGCTGTTCAAATATAAAAAATTACACAATCATTTTTCATTTTATTTAGTATTAGCATTGGTCGGGACTGCAACAGTGGGTCTTGATTACATGACCGTCAAACAAAAAGAGGTTTTCAGCAATCCTAAATTTATTGTTTTCATCCGTCTTTCCAGACATTTGAGTTGCTATTTTACGGAGGTGTTTAGGATGCTGGTACATAAGAAGTGGTGGGTGGGAATGGTAACAAAGGGCCTAGCTAAGCTTTGGTAGAGCTGGTTGTTATGGTTACATTTTTGCATGCCTTTTGGCTGGTGAAATGCACCATGCATTCTTACAGGAACCTTATTTAAATGCATGCTACATTCTCATCTGCTTTTGCAGCCGTTTTCCCACCCCTTTTTGGCTTTGAATCCTTCAGGCTCAAAACAAGCCATAGAACTGTTGGACCATCCACAGACAGACAAGTTTTCTGTTTACTTTGGCAGCAGTCTTATTTTATGAGGCTTCTTGAAGTTGACCTCTTCTCTATTTGTTAGTTGCATTGACACCTCTTGAGCAAATGCTTATGTCTTTCTTGCTTGTGTGATGACTGGTTTCCTGTCTGTGGCATCTCTTTTTGCCTGTTCCTCAGCTACGAGCAGAGGTGAGCGGGCTGCAGGTTGAGCTAGAGGGCAAGCGGGCAGAGATGGACACGCTGGAGACGCTCCTGCAACGCAGAGACCGGGAGAACCAGGAGGGAGACAATCTACTGGCCATGCTCAGAGCTGACCTCAACACGGCCTCACAGCAGAGGTCAGCTGACCTACAGAAAGAGCGATTTCAGGGAACTGACAGTCTGCATACTGTTTTAGAGAACAACCTTATTTTCATACTTTGAGTTGATCATTAAAACTTTTATTTTGTTCCTGTCAGACAAGACCTGCAAACAGCACGTGACAAGCTACAGCGGATGCTCATAGAGATGCTTCGAATCACTATGGCAACGGAAGAGCACATCAACCACAAGTTAGGGGCTTGTGTGTCAGGTGGTCAGGCTGGAGACAAAACGCCCAGCTCTATGACAGCCAGCAGTAGCCGTGATTCACGTGAAACGGGTATGTTTCTGTTAGTCTGCTAAATTATATCTATATTGATCAACCACTATTAAAAACAGTGTTCAATCATTGGATATATATATAAAGTATCTAATTATTTAAAGGGATAGTTTACCCAAAAATGAAATTTGTCGTCATTTACTCACCCTCCACTTGTTCCAAACCTGTATGAGTTTTTCTTCTGTTGAACACAAAAGAAAATATTTTGAAGAATGTTGGTAACCAAACAGTTGTTGGTAGCCATTGATTTCTAGAGTATTTTTTCCTCTCCATACTATAGAAGTCAGTGACTAAAGAAACTCCTATGGATTTGGAACAACTTGAAAGTGAATAAATGATGACAGAATTTAATTTTTTTGGGTGGACTATCCCTTTAATGATAGCAAATGTGACAGTTGCTAAATCCTTTATTTTGCCCTATTTTTTTCCTTCTTAATATATTAGAACTAATATAAAAAAATCTTTGGCCGATTATCTCAAATTTCCGACTGTGGTTTAATATGTTTGGTTGAATTTCAAATGGATTTTAATAATGAATTTATTTATTTTTCTTCCTTTTCAGGAGAGGTGATTGGCGTAGAGGGAGATGCTGATTGTAGCGTGTGGTCTTCGGCTGTGGACGAGGGGTTGGAATTGTCTCAGAGGCTGTGTGAGAGTGTGTTCTCTGGGCCGGAGGGAGAGATGGAGGCGGAAGGCGAGGAGCTCATGCTGGGTGCCTGTGCACGTCTACGCACTACTGCTGATAAACTACTGGAGCTGCTCTCGGAGTCCTCACAGCAGGTACCACGTACATGCATACATACATACATACATACATACATACACACACACACCCCTGACCCTCCCACTACTGTCCATTGTTTGGATTAGGCAATATCGATGAGCCACAAGTACTTGTGATGGGTCACTAGCTCTTCCTCTCAGGCATTGCAGTGTTACATTTATGTACATGTTTGTTCACGAAATGCTTTTTGGTATCAAAGTGACATCCTTTCCTCGTGCTTTAATTTTTTTTTTTTTGTAAGTTTATAAATTAGTATTTTTAACTTTTGAACGGCAGTTTACTGAAGTATAGAGTCGGTAGGTCGCTGCTTTTTTTTTTCTTAAGGCTGGATTTATTTAAGATACAGTTAAAAACATTAATTGTGAAATGTTATTACAATATAAATCAACCTTTCTATTTTAAAATTTATAGATTTATTCATGTGATGGCAAAACTGACTCCAGTCTTCAGTGTTACATCTCATTCTAATATTGTGATTTGGTGCTCAAGAAACACTTCTTCTTATAATAGATGAAAACAGTTGTTCTGCTTAATGTTTGTGGAAACTGTGAATTTTGTGTTTTTAGATTTTTTTTGCTTTTTTATTAATGTAGGTTTGTTGTTTTCACTTTGTAATTTTAGTGCTTAACTTTATTGTTATTTCAAATTTTTCACCTTGTGACTTTTTTTTTTTCGTGTTGGAACTGTTTCACCCTATATTCCTCTTAATTCATGTCTGTTTTTTTTCTCTCTTCCCGTCGTTTTCTACTGTAGTTGGAGCAGATGTGTGGTCTACAGGCTGTGCTAAATGAGCGGTTCAGAGATGGAGGTGAGGCCGGAGCATCTCTGCTGTTTCAGAACTCTCGGCTCCTGGAGCAGCTGGATCATGAGGCCAGTCTGAAGAGCCAGTTACAACTGGAACTGCACAAGGCCGAAGGTCAGAATACCTATATATGGTCAGTTGTATTCATATCTCGGTTTCATACTCTTATGACTTCTCATTTGCTGTCCATGTGTGTCTCCAGGTCTGATGGAAGGCTATGTAGCTGAGAAAGCCTCTTTGGAGGAGGCCCTTCAGCAGAAAGAGATGCAGCAGCAGCGTCTAGCAGAGGAGCTGGAGAGCACACGCATCCAACTGCAGCAGCTCAGTGAAAATCACACCCTCCTCCTGCATCAGAGAGAAGCCCTTACAGCCGGCCTTGGAGACACTGAGAAGGGTGAGAGAGGAAGGCTTTAGGGCCATGATTTAAGCTGGCATGCTTTGGTTTAATTTTCAGATTGAGTCACGCAACATGCAATTATGTAACATTAGTTTTGTCATTCGGTGCATGCCTTATAGTCATGACCTGTTACAGATGTGTCTGTTGCTTTGCACACAGAGTAGGGGTGAGCGATTATGTATCATCTATGATAATATCATAATTATAGTTTTAACAATATGCAAACTGACAATGACACTTGCTAAACCAAACAAAATTGCATTGAGTGCACACTTGAGTGCTGTTATTCCCAATATCAGCACAAATGTGATGCGATCTGGGAAAACCCATCGGATGTCAAGCTGGGACTTTTTCAGGAAATTTGAAAAATAGGTTGAATGTAAAAATTTTTTTTTGTCAATTAGGTTTTCATTAAATTATTATTCTATAACATCTTGTCTATCATCTCTGAAAATATCTTGGCAAAATTCACTTGTTTATTGCAGACAAAATAGCTATTTATTGCAGCAAGCAGAAAAGACTCTCTCTTGTGTTAAGAACGCGCTGCAGAGGTCCAAGGTGCTTTTTCTTAACACCACAAAAACAGTTAACCTATCAAAATAAACCACGTAACATGTATAATAAAGGCACATTTCCCGCCAGTCCTGTGTAAACTACGGCACGCAAAGTTTTATTTATTTATTTTTTAATATCGTGAGATGGCAGAGCGCAAGAAAAAAAACAGTCTAAAGTAGCTGCTCACACGATCTTGCTCATCTCAATCTGCTCAATCTTGGTGATGACAGTGCCCTAAACGATGTTATAATGGACCATTTTACATCCAGAGATGAAGGATAGTATGATGAAGTTACTAAAGAGGAGGAGTCCGATGACCGTCTGTTATAGGCTATGCACAGGTGCGCGAACAGTTGCGCTGTGCTCGCTTTTCTAAATGTAAACTACAAGGTACATTATTCGTGCTATCTAAACATACAAGGGGTGATCAAAAGTCTATGCTCAAAAGAGACTATGCCCATGATAAACAGCGGACACCGTCCTCTTCAGGGTAACGTTAGTCTGTTTGTGTAATGATGCAGTATAGTGCTTCTGACAGACAGCTCTCGTTAAACCCGTGAAGTGAAAGCGAAACCAGTCTTACTTTAAACCCGTTTTTCTCAAAATTCAATTCCTGAAAATAATAGCTATTAGCTAAATTCAGATAGCCATTGTTTTTTCTCCATTGCTTGAACGTAAAAAAAGTTGTTTTAGAAAGGGCTTGAACTCCGCTTTCATAAAACCTAAAAAAGGTACAATTTCACCATGTGGTGGGTTTTCCTAGATCGCATCACAAATGTGAACGCCATTAATTTAGGAAAAGTGCAGTAAACAATAGAAAATATTTTTTTTTCTTTTAGATGTGCTATTGCCTCTTTTTGTTTTTGTCAAAAAAAAATTCCAAACCACAGCAGAACGGTTTTGTGTCTCTGACCAACACAGCAGTGTTTTATACTGCGTGCATATGCGTTTTGACCAAATCAGTTTAATAAAAGATTCAATGACTGAATGAATCAGTCATTTGAACAAATCTTTGAATGAATGATTCAATTACTTGCTGCCACCTACTGGCGGTTTTAGTTTCATATTTAATTATGAAATAATTTAAGTCATTAAATGTTAAGAATTTGAAGATGGTGCATATGTCTAATAAAGTTTGATAATAAAAAAAATTGTCGTTAAAAATCTCCTGGAAATCAGTTTAAAGGCCTTTCCACACTGAGCGCGAAAAAGCGAAACAAATATCGGACGAGATGACGCACTGGAATAAAACAATAGATTTCTATGGATGCTTCCACATAGACCGCAAACATTCTCGCACTGAAAATGCAAAAAAAAAATTCCGAACCAGTTTGACTTATCTTTACAGTTTCGCAAGGCTAAAACACGGGCCGTAATAGGATCACGTGACCGGAGCAGCTGCTGTTGTACAGAAAGGTGAGAGTGGTGGCGCTGTTTCGAAAACCAGTGTAAACAAACACAGAAGAAGAGAGTGGATGATGAGTTCTTGTTATCGTTAGTATTTGAGAACAGATTTATTCTCACATGTTCTTTATACAAAATAAAATTTCTATTAATTGTCCACTGAATTATTATGTAATCACAGTAGAGCACCATCTGTTTTCTTCCACGTGCATGAGTGTTATGAGTCAGAGCACGTTCCCTCTTTTTATACACATGAAATATGAAGCAAATAGACATGGTTATGACGATATATTTTCTGTATGTTTTGGATGCAGCTCATGGTATTTTTATAGCAATAAAGATGTTTGACAAATATTAGCAGTGTAGCGTTATTAAACATGCTAAGAGTGCATGTGTCTGCTTATTAATAAAAATCAACTATTATAGATCGCAATTGGAAGTTATTACAAGCACTCGATGATGGTTTAAAGTGGGTAAGCAAATACATTAATAATTACATTTTCAAGTGTAGCTTGATGCTAACTGTACTTCTAATTATATTTTAGGATGTAGCCTATTCTTGTAAGCATTATAGATAGTTTGTTTCTGGTGTAGAACCTTATTTATCTTAATTTAATGCTGTATATTGAGCAGCGGATGATGTTAAATCCATTTACGAGATGCATATCTAAGGAAAAATGCATTGCTGGTCGGCGCCACCTAGCGTGCAGGCGTGAATTGGCAGAAGGCGAACAATCGTTTCGCGTTATGTGTGAAAGCACCATTCCTCGGCGATTCGCCTTGCTTTTTCGCATCGCGCTCAGTGTGGAAAGGCCTTAAGGGGGGAAAATATTGCCTTGTAGTGGAAAAATTTGTAATTTCTGTGAACTAGCCACTGCACCGAATATGTAAATTTTTTTGGAGTCGGCTGTCCACGACAGGCCCGAACCAGTAAAGGTACCAGCACCAAAACACACTTGGCAAAATATTGTCTAATTGTTATCGACAAAATGCCGTAAAATATAGAGGTATTTTTTGTCAATATTACATACCTAACACAGAGTGAAAATTTTAAGATTGTGTGATGAAGGGTTTAGTTTCATGCTACGAATTCTTTCTGCTCTGTAGGCTGCCTCAACGCAGAGGAAGAGACAGGTTTGTGATGATAATCTGCGACTGAAGCAAATGTTTGAGTTGAAAAATTACTTGTACAGTTTGACACTAAATGCATCCATTCCTGATGAAGTTTGCCATTTTTTTTATTTTTATTTTTTTTATTTTAATTTGTGATTTATTAACACTTTTGCTTATCCTGTGGTGTTTTTTTGCAGTTTAACTTGTTCTAAACTTTTGGCTTTGAAGGTCTAAATACTGGTTAATTTCTCTTATGAGTCTTTCTTTGCCAATTTCTTCTTTATCCAGTTTGCGGTGCTTTATTTGTGCATTGAGAGTGCATAAAGATCTGGAGCTCCTGTGCTTGTTTGCATCTTAATTTGCATTTGCAGTTTGTGTGTTTTGTTGACATGAACTCTGCTGTTACTCATTCATTTTATTCATTGGTCCTCCTGGGTTCTGTGCAGCTCTGCTAGTGGAGGCTGAGCGTCTGGGGCAGGAGTGTGTAGAGGTGCAGCGGCAGGCGGAGAAGGATTGCGGTGGTTTGGCGTCTCGTCTGCAGATGCTGGAACAGGCACTGGAGGAGCAGGAGAGCAGTGTTTGAGTTGAAAAATTACTTGTACAGTTTGACACTAAATGCATCCATTCCTGATGAAGTTTGCAATTTTTTTTATTTTTATTTTTTTTATTTTAATTTGTGATTTATTAACACTTTTGCTTATCCTGTGATGTTTTTTTGCAGTTTAACTTGTTCTAAACTTTTGGCTTTGAAGGTCTAAATACTGGTTAATTTCTCTTATGAGTCTTTCTTTGCCAATTTCTTCTTTATCCAGTTTGCGGTGCTTTATTTGTGCATTGAGAGTGCATAAAGATCTGGAGCTCCTGTGCTTGTTTGCATCTTAATTTGCATTTGCAGTTTGTGTGTTTTGTTGACATGAACTCTGCTGTTACTCATTCATTTTATTCATTGGTCCTCCTGGGTTCTGTGCAGCTCTGCTAGTGGAGGCTGAGCGTCTGGGGCAGGAGTGTGTAGAGGTGCAGCGGCAGGCGGAGAAGGATTGCGGTGGTTTGGCGTCTCGTCTGCAGATGCTGGAACAGGCACTGGAGGAGCAGGAGAGCAGTGCGCATCAGCTGGAAGAACAGCACCGCCTGCAGACTGAGGACCTGCAGCAACACATTGATGCTCTGGAGAAACAGCTCAAACATAACCGCCAGTTCATAGATGTGAGTATTTCCAGCAGTTTATTCAAGTGTCTGAAATTCAGCACCAGAGAAAGTGAATGTGAGCTAAGGGAAATAAATGACTGTGCCTTTTTTCCTCTTATGTACAGGAACAAGCAGTGGAGCGGGAGCATGAGAGAGATGAATTCCAGCAGGAAATAAAGAATCTGGAAGCTCAGCTGAGACATCCATCGAAAGGATACACAGGAGGGGACAGCAAGGGTCAGAGGGTAAGGGTCAATGTCTAGAACTTTAGATATCTGTTTGTCTTAACAGTCTGACACCCTTTTTGTGATTATTGAATAATCTGTGACGAGTATGTGAGCAGAATAAAATCAGCAACTTCCTGTCCCTGCTCAAAACATTTCAGTCACTTCACTCCAGCTCCACTCTGGGTTTCTGTTTGTAAAGAAACTTAATGTTAGATACATTTTTTTATTTTTTTTGTCATGTCTTTTTTGTGTCTTGATGACCACAGCTGCATTAATTTGATTACAGTAAGAATTGGAAAACTTTGGAATATTAATTTCTATTTGTACAAAAATAATTTTCTGTTAATGTATTTTAAGATGTCATTTATATAGTGATGGAAAGGCTGAATTTTCAGCAGCCATTACTCCAGCCTTCAGAGTCACACGATCCTTCAGAAACTGTTGTGCTGCTTAATAATTGTGTGGAAATTGAAAGTTAAATTTTTTTTTTTCAGTACTCTGATAGTTCAGAGTTCAAGGAAGTTCAAAAGAACAGCATTTATTTGAAAATGTTTATATATATATATATATAAGCAAATAATAAACTTTAGTGACACTGTCTCGATTGTGCAAGTGACAATTCCGGTGTCAACTGTGCAGCTCGCTTATAGTGCAGACGCGTTGTGGTGATTTGAAGCTATTTGCGCATTGAGTTCAAGATCGAGAGCACTCAGAGATTCACTCATGCTGTTTGTGAAATTGATGTCTCTCCGAAAAAATTGTATTTACTGTTTTAGCTATTTAATAAAGAAAAATAAATTGTACCTCACCTTCAGCATTATAATTTTTACCCGTGCCGGACAAAGTTTGAGATGTCATGCCAAACCTCTCACTGCAGGTGCGTCGTCAGCTTGAGATCGGCCTTTATAGAGACCGCCGATCAAACTTCCCAAAGCGATTATAGGCCAATAGTGATCGGTAGCCAATCAATCGGAGCCCCCCTACTGAATTTTTCATGCAGTTGCATTATTAATGTGCCTGTATTTCTGGTCCTATATCAGACTGATAATGCAGCAAAAGAAAACATAAAAAATTTCATGCTTCAGGCAAAATCGAAAAAAAACCTCTTCCGTGCCGCATAGCTCACATACTCTGTCTGTGACCGAGACTAAAGCCATTCTGATAACGATCGGTAGCCAATCAATCGGAGCACCCCTACTGAATTTTTCATGCAGTTGCATTATTAATGTGCCTGTATTTCTGGTCCTATATCAGACTGATAATGCAGCAAAAGAAAACATAAAAAATTTCATGCTTCAGGCAAAATCTAAAAAAAAAAACTCTTCCGTGCCGCATAGCTCACATACTCTGTCTGTGACCGAGACTAAAGCCATTCTGATAATCTGACAGCTCTGAGTGATTTGAATGCTCATCTAGATGCTTTTTTATTTTCTCCCTAACTGAATGTTGTAGATTGAGGACTTGGTTCTTCAGGTATGTTATACAGCTGTAGTCATTATCGTGCTGGTAGAAAAATTGCATGGCTTATGCAGCATTTCAATTAGTAGAGCATGTAATATATATTGTCCATTCACTGTCTTGTTTGTCAAACCTTTTTTCAGCAGGTATACATCAGTCATGTCTTTAATTCATGTTGTGTTTTCCTCTTCCATCTTACTCAAATACACACATATTCCTACACTTATTCTCTTTCCTCTGAAATGTCTTTGCTTACTACTGTAGTGGCTTCTGAAGGCTTTAATAGCTTTACTGCCTAAACCTTTATGTCTGTTCATTTTAGGATTGTCGTCTTGTAAGCCACATCCTTTGCAAAACTGTTGCTTTAGCAAAATTAGTGCTGCTGTTTGGCATATATTCCCACATGGATGTTCAGTATTTGTATTCAAATACTCACACATTCACTTTTCTTAGGACGGTGGCCTGTTCCTGTCCCTTGTTATGGATGCATGTGACATTCTTTGTCTAATTTTATACAGGTGGAAAGTCTTCAGGCTCTTATCAAAGATAAGATGGAAGACTATAGTGTACTGTTGTCAGCAAAAGAGCAGTGTCAGCGTGATGTGGAAGAACGTAATGAAGAGATTGAAAAATTGGCAGCTCGTATCCGAGAGTTGGAGCAGGCATTACTAAGCTGTGCAGAGTCCAGCCGAACGGTCACACAGCTTGAGCAAGAACTTCAGAAAGCACGCAAGAACCTTCAGGAGCTCACACAGGTGCACAAAAATACACTTACTAGAGCAAATGTGTGTTTAGAGATTACAAAACCCCTTACATGCATTTTTCACGGCTTCAGTTGGGTGTTAATGTTTGGGTAGAATTGGAATTATTTTGTAGCATGAATATCTACATGGTTCTAACCAGTAGTGGTCCGTGTGTTTTTACTTTCAGGATAAAGAAGCTTTGCAGCAGCAGCAGTATGCTAATAAACTCCAGATCTCTGCCCTACAGTCCAAACTTGATGAGACCAGACACCGTTTCCCTGATATGACCCCTGAGCCCAACCTCCGGGAGCAGCTGGAAACCACACAACAGGATCTGCAGACCAAAGAACAACAGGTGCGTATAAAAAGGAAGTAATAGAGATATGAAATTAGCTATATGCTACATGGAAACTGATTTAAGACTTTTCGTCTCTCTTAGGTGGAATTTCTGTCAGAGCGTATAAGTGAGCTTGAGAAGGATTTGGTAGTGAGAGAGGAAGGGTTTGGACAACTAACACTACAGCTGGAGCTCAAAAACAGAGAAAGCAGAGCTACAGAAGATCAGCTCCATGCACACATCACGCACCTGCAGGTAAGGCTGTGGTCTCAGTGTAGACTGGCAATCCTATTGTGATAGGACGGCCAGCATGTTGACAGTCTTGGATAAATTGTATTTATAGCACAGAACTCATTGAATAGTGTAGGGGATTTAGTTGATGATTGTCTGGAGGATATAAAAAAACCAGGTGGACCTCATTGTGTGTCTTTTAGGAGATTGTGGACGCTTTGACAAGGCGACTAGAAGAGGGCAGCGACGAATCCATCCTTCAACTGCCTTCTGCCCTTCTGGAGGAGAAGAATCTGGAGATCGACCACTTAAACCAGCAGATCCTCCAGCTGCAGCAGGAGCTTGATCTGACCAATGATAATAAGGTAAATAAGGTTTTTTTAATTTCCCCAAATCTCTTACTCAGAAGTACGAAAAGAAACATTATTCCGATTCCTCTTAACTACAGTTGCATTAGTTCCATTCCTTTAAAGGGGTCATGAACTGCCTTTTTTTTATTATTTTGTACTGTTCTCTGAGGTCTACTAATAATGTCAAGATTTTTAAATCAAAAAACATAATTTAGAAGTAATAGGCTATTTTCTGTCCTGTTTTGACCCCCTCATCGGAACGCTCTGTTTGAATAGGTGTGGCGGATTGTAGACTCGGAAGTAAACGCCCACTGCTATGATTGGCTAACAGTTGTGCATGTTTGACAGCCTACATCCTTCATAGATGGACGCTGCTGTGATTTAGTTTAAAAATGCATAAATACGCAGTACATATCAAACAATTTGTAATAACACACAAAGCAGTGATCACGTAATAAATACATTTACTCACACTTGTGTGGCGTTACATTACTGTCGGATCCGATATAGTCGACACGGCATCGTCTATTAGTTTCAATCTTTCTGAAATTCTTGTCGAATTGTGCCTTGTTTGTAAACGAATCCGCGGTAAAATGAAGTGAACAAAGGACCAAGTTCTTACTGACGCGGTCTGGATCTTCGTTGGAAGTAAAGGTCATCCAGTCTTTCCTAATGTTGGGATCAGAAGGAAGGCAATGCAAAGACTGTTTTTCCACATTTTGGCACTGCACAGCATCTTGTTGTCTTTGGAGCATCTTTATCAATTGTTTTCTGCGTAGACCTGCGTTTGCCTCTCTCGTTATTTACACTACATGCACAAATTGGTGGGCGGGGCAAAAAAAGGCAGTGATGTAGAAGTAGGCCTTGATCGTCTTCTGTGGAGGCGGGGTTTAGCCACACTTTTACGTCATAAAGTGGCACATTCCACAACCTCTCGTTTTGGCAGATTGGCTTCAATGTAAGCTGTTTTTAGAATAACAAGAAAGTTTTGAGTTCTGAAACGTACAGGATGTTTTTATAGTACAATGACCTCTAATATGTCGAAACATCAAGGGAATTTTGATTTCTCAGTTCATGACCCCTTTAAAATCCCATCCCTGTTATTCAGGAAGATTGGAATACACTAGATCTAAGGTTTAGTGTTTAGCTTAGTTTGAAGACTTCTGTAATTTATTTTGTGCTGATTAAGTGTGTTGCTGATTTGTAACTAGTTCTTATTACCATTTTCAGACGCTAGAGGAAAAGCAAGTTGAGATTGAAGAGCTGTGCTCTCTGGTTGAGCGTCTTCGTTGTGACCAGGAACGTTTACGGCAGGCAAAGGAAGAAGAGACTGAGCAGCTCCATGAAGTTATTAACAAGCTTCAAGAGGAGTTGAGCCAGCTTGACCCCAACCATCATGAAGTCAGTGACCTCAACACTGACAGCCCCGAGTCATCGGACTTCCCTTGGACCCCTCATCCTTGCCAGCAGAGGGTGCCCGAGGAAAGCCTGTGCCAGGAGCTCAGCAGCCACACGCTGCAATCATCTCGCGCTCGCTTGCAGGAGTTACAGATTGAGCTGGAGCGAGCAGCTGGAGAGAAGGACTCTCTTCAGAGACTGTTGCTCTCCCAAGAGGAACAGTATGGAAGCCAGGTGGAGACACTTGGCCGGAGTCTCGGAGAGGAAAGGGGGAAGGTGGTCGTGTTGGAACAGGAGGCAAATGAGCTGAAACTCCAGCTAGAGGAGAAGCGGACAGAAGCTGAGAGATTGGCAGCTCGTGTGGAAGTGTTGGAAGATACAGAACAAGCTCATCAGTCCAGGCTTGGAGAGTCTGAACTCCAGTTGAGAAGGGTGGAGGAGAGAAGAGACAAGGTCCAACAGGAGCTTGGCAGGCTGCAGGAGGAGGTGAAGAACCAGTGTGTGGAGAAGGAGCTTCTGGAAAACCAAATCTCCAAACTGCAAAGCAAAGAAGAGGAGTATCAGAATGAACTTGCCTCTTTACAGTCCAAACTCGAAGAGCTTGAGGAGAGCGTCCAAGTAAGCAAAGCCACCATCATTGCCTTAGAGGCAAGCAAAAAAGAACTGTTCATTGAGAGCGAGGCTCTGAGAAAACGTGAGGGATGCCTCAAGGAGGAAATAGAGCGTTTGAAACAGGAAGTGACATCAAAGACAGATTGCATAAAAGAACTATGTGAGCAACAGGAAGAGACTGTGGCTAAACAAGGTGAAACTCAGAAAAAAGTACTGGTGAGTGTATGTAGTTTTTGTTTCTTATTGTAATGTAATTTGAGCAACACTGCAGACAAACCATAATTGTTACGGACTTGGGCTGTAAACTTTACTCTTTCTATGTACTATGATGTAAACAGTGAGGGAAGGTGCCTCAAGGTTTCATGCTTTACTGTAATTAGTTGCAGATGAACTATGTTGTGTGTGCAGTCTGGGTAGTGCCTAAAATTTACAGAAGTAAAAAGGGGAGGAACTAGAATAGAATGATTTAGTCCAACCCTCTGGCATGAGAGGACATCTCACACAGGAAGTAAATTTACAGAAAGAGGAAGTCTGTCTGACGTCTTTTAAACAGTTTACTTTTAAAGCTTGATCTAGTCATGAGGTAAAGTGGAGAGTTGCACTATTTATATTTGCTCTGTTAACAGTATGATGGAGCAGTATTTTAGCAAATAACATTTAATTTCTTAGAACTTTCTAGTGGCAAGCCTATTTCTGTTTTGATTGAGCAGGAGGCAACAGCTCATCATGTGATGCTGTTTTTGATGCTGATATTGCCATATTAAATGCATTAAAGTGCTTTTGTTATTCATTAACTATTCTCTTTCAGGAGGAGCAGCAGTGGAGATCTCTAGAGCAGCTGTTCAATGCAGACCGTCACAGTCTATTGGCTGAGGTGCGCAGCCTGCATGCGCAGCTGCATGCAAGCACCCAGCAGAGCCAGGAACAGCTACGGCAGTTGCAGGATTCCCTGGACACTGCAAAAGAACAGGGCATGGAAGTGCAACATCAGCTGCGTAGAGATGGTATGTTCTTCACAATTGGATTAAGAAAAAAAATGACAGCAAGTATTGAAAAGCCAACAAAAACCCTCCCAAAGGCAGATTTTAACTTTGTGCACTGTTTAGCTGAAGAGCTGGAGTTGCAGCTGCAACAGGAACAGACAGTGTCACATGATCTGCGCACCTCTCTGGAAGCTGAGAAAAGTAGGGGATTGGAGCAGCAGAGGCAGTTAGAGGCAGAGCTTAAGGCTGTGTCAGTGCTGAAGGCAGAGCTGGAGGAGACCAGGCTACAGCTTCAGTCTACATACAAAAATCAAGATGAATTGAAGAGCCAAAATCAAAAGCTCAGGTACAGCAAACTTGTATGCACACCCTTTGAATAGGAACTGTCACAGTAGTATGCCAAATGTTTTTTTTTTTCTGAAAAATGTTTCTTTGTCTTTAAGGCAAAAGCTGGAAAATGTTGAGGCTGAACATCAAGCCCGTTTACAGGCATTGGAGAAAGAGCAGGCTAGAGTAAAGGAACTGCAGGAGGACCTTCAGCAGCAGCGACTCGTCGACCAGCAGACAGTTGAGCAAAACCAGCAAACACAGGAGGTAAAACACATTTTTGATGTACTGACCTTTATATTGGTGGCTTTTGTTCAGGTTAAATCATTTTGCCAATATGTGGTGGCTCTTTTTGTTTTGTGTGTTTTGAGTCATTGAATCATTTACTCGGTTGTAGTTGTTGTTGTCTGTGACCAAAACAAGTCTAATGCTGCAGTCACACTAGAATTTGAGCTCACAAAATTCCTGTGGGCATTGAGATAGTTCTGATATGACATCACACTCTGTAGCATCTTTTTCCAAAAACATAAATTCAAAAAACATTCAAAATCAAAAAAAAAAAATCAATTTACTGCAATGCTGTAAACGTCCGGCTTCTGTTAATTCAGCTAAGAAGTTCCACTGGGATGTATCAGTCTTCTATATCGACCTTCATGTAATATAAATTTGCAGGTCAGAGTTCACCAAACTTTAAACTTTGGAAAGCAACAAAATGTGAAACTTCGCGTAAGCTTATTTTTCTGATCTTTGTATGCCATATAATTGAAAGTCAGTGGAAAGAACAGTGTAGGGTGGCTGCCCCTTTTATTAGTAAATTAAGCAGTTCAATAATGACTGTCATAATTTTGCATGGTCATTCATAATTTTTTTTTCTTGTTAGATTTAAGTGTTTAGTTCATTTCATTCACAAACCAGATGTGTCCATTCATTTAGTTTACTTAAGAATTAAAGTTTTGCTCCTTCGCCAAAACATAGTCGTTCAGTGAAGAGCGCATGCCCATTCAGTAGATTCAACCAATGAAATGCTCTCACAGCCCAACTATAGCTCTCTATAGTCGGTCTATGAAGGCAGGAAAGCAGTTGCAATAAAACTATTTGTAAAGGAAGAAAGTCAAGTCTAACTTTTAGCGGTTTTCACAAAAAAGTTTCAAACCTGCTTTAAAGAAAATCATGATGATAATGGTTATATCTTAATATCTACATGACCTATGGTCGCATTAAGCAGACGAGCTATGCGATTAATTTCATGCTGGTTATTCACGCAGTTGAGATTTGATATATATTATATATTACTTTACGTGAGTATACTGTATGTATGGAACTAAATTTTGGATATACTATATATCCAACTTTATATACGCGACACAGAACTGTGTGATAATATAGTTTACATTTTGCAATGCAATCATGCAGCTGAGACTTACTTTACATCGGTATACTGTATATATGCAGGTAAAATTGGATATACTCGCAGTATTTGTATAATTCATTAAATTAATTTATTTAATTTAGTTGTGGTGATATTGAGAATTCTGAAACCTGTGATGGTTTTGTTTGAGCCTAATTACGATGTAGTAATCCTTTTTATTTTTTTATTTTTTATTTTTTTAAAACAGTCTTTGCACCAAGCTTTGAATGAGCAAGCATCACATGTCAGTCAGCTTAACTCCGCACTGGAACAGGAGCGCATCACATCCAGCAACCTGCGCTCTGAGCTCCAGATTGAGCAGTCTCGTTGTGAGGCCCTGTTGGCCCAGGAGCACGAACGCACCGAACTTATGCTTTCCCGCCTGGAGGAGGAACGCTCCCGATCGGCGGAGCTCTCAGATTTGCTCTCTCGCCAAGCCCAGGAGCACACGCACCGTTTAGAGGAGGAAGCCCGCAGACAGGAAGCTGCCAGTGCCCATGACAGAAAGTTTATTCAGGACCTACGGGCTCAATTGGAACAGGAGAGGCATCAGGGGGAGGACCTGGCAGCCATGTTGGAACGTCTGCAAGGGCAGGTGCTGGAAGGGAAGCGCAGGCAAGCGGAGGAGGCAGAGCAGGAGGCACACAAGGAGCAGGAGGAAGTGAGGAGGCTCCGTGCAGCTCTGGAGGGCCTGCAGACTCAGAAAACAGAGGTTGGACGCACTCTAGAGGCAGAGCGAGAGAGAGCTGCTGAGTTACAAACTGAGTTGGATGTGATGAAGGAAAAGATGAGAGTGGTGATAGAGAGGGAGAGAGTGAGGGAGGAGCAGATGGAGAGGCAGAGGAAACAGGAGCAGGTGGAAAAGGAGCGACGACAGGAACGCACCAATGAGAAACTGGTGAGGAAAAAGACTCGTCTTCTTAAAGGGATAGTTCACCCAGTAATGAATTTACGTATCCTCATTGTTCTAAACTCATAAGACCCAAAAACCTAAATTAAATCAGTTCATCAAAGCGATTGTATCTCTTCACAAGACTTGTAACTTTGGATTAAACTGCTTGATGTGATTCATATGATTTCTTTTTACAACGCCTTGTTTTTGGAACTTATGTTTTGGTTACCTTGTATTTGAATGGAGGGTCAGAATCCGCTCAGGTTTAAAAAAATTTCCTATTTTGTGTTTCGAATATTAACCAGTCCCATGGGTGTGGAATGGAATTCGGGTTAATAAACATGACAATTTTCATTTTTGAATGAACTACCCCTTTAATTTGATATGTACATGAGCATTATAGTTTGCTGTGAGTGTTTTAGAGCACTGAAGTTATTTGATGCATTTTCTCAGTTGGAGTTGGAAGTGTTGCGTCAGAAGGATCAGCAGCGGTTGAGGCAGCTACAGCAGACGCTGGCTGACTTGAAGCAGAAAGAGAAACAGCTCACGTCAGATCGCCTGCAGAGAGACATGCACTCCAATGGCCTGACCTTTGGCCAGAATGCACTCACAAACATCCCTCAGGTAATATTCTCCAGCCATAAGTTTTGAATGGGTGTTAAGGTTTTTTTTTTTTATATATTTTTTTTTTATACTTGTAGTGTTAACTTATAAAATCAAACCTAACCCAAAAATGTGCTTGGCTGTTTTTCTTTTACAAGCAAATATACCCAGACCTACTGATTCTCAAAAGCTTTCACTCAGATGAAAGTGTTTGTACCGATACCAAATGATTTATGACATTTAAAATGAAAGAAAAATAGGGTTTGTTGTACTGTGTTAGTACAGAATGCCTAAGGAAGTAAGTGCTAAAGGGATAATTCACCCAAAAATGAAAAAGTGTCTATTTACTCACCCTCATGTCATTGCAAAACTGACTGACTTATATTCTGAAGAATGTTGGTAACCAAATAGTTTCAGTTCTCCGGGACTTCAGTTGTGTTTTTGTATCCATTATAGTGGAAGTTAATGGGAACCAAAATTGTTCACACCAGTGTAAATGATTGCCACAAATATGGCTCTAATTTTCACATGTGACTTGTCTGTTCAGACCAACGTGGGGAAAAAATGGCAGACGCATTGAATGGAAATGAGAATTCACTCTCTGACCATAGGTGGTACCTTTGTTATCCTTGAACATAAAGGCATCTGAATGTTTTTGGCCAAATTGTGCAACCCTATAGACAAGCAAAGCAAACCTGGAGATTTTTTTAATTGCTTTTTAAATTGCAATTATCAGAAATCACAATTTTTTTGATCCTATAATGTAATGTATTTGTAATATATTTATCTTCTGCTCAACAGGATTCTACCTCCTCCACTCCCTCACTAATGGAACGTTTGCTGAAGGAGAACACTGAGTTCTCCGAATGTCTCGCTGCTCTGAGTGAGGAGAAGATCTCCCTCAAACACACTATATCCTGTTTGGAGAGAGACCTGCAAAGCCTGAAATGCCAGGAGCAGGTAATATTATTTTCAATTGGTTTCTTTTTTATTTTTATGATCCTTTTTTTTTAACATCAATCAAGACATAATGCAACCAGTAAATCCACTTGAAAAATGTTTGCATGATGTGTGAAGGCTGAAAGTGGTAGATGAATGCAGTTCTTCATCTGTTTCAGTGTTCAGTCCGTATATTTTTTTTGGTTCTAGGTGTGATGCGCTCTCTCTCTCTCTCGCTCTCTCTCTCTCGCTCTCTCTCTCTCGCTCTCTCTCTCTCGCTCTCTCTCTCTCGCTCTCTCTCTCTCGCTCTCTCTCTCTCTCTCTCTCTCTCTCTCGCTCGCTCGCTCGCTCGCTCGCTCGCTCTCGCTCTCGCTCTCGCTCTCGCTCTCTCTCTCTCTCTATATATATATGCATACACACATGCACGCATACATACATACATATATATATGTGTGTATATTTATATCCATTTCTTTTTAATTGAAACAAATGAAGACATAACTGAAGACTTAAATACACCAAAGACAAACATAGAATGTGTAGTGCAACGATACTCCCCAACCTTCCAATACATGTGAGAAGTTTGTATAA